TCAAGCTGGCTCGGAATATTCATCTGGGTCAGCAATCAACCCGGTCGTCGCATGCCTCGTCCTCTATCCAACTCGAAGCGACAGCAAGGCGCTGCCAATGTACGCGATACTCGACACGACAATGGTCTTGTAGGTCCTGGGAAGAGGGTGCCTAGGCAAAAGAGTAATGGACATATGAACGGACATGCGAACTCCTCCGATTCTATCCCATCAACACCACCACCTTCGACCCCACCACCTACAAATGGACACGCGAAATTGCCTGGAAATGATGACAACACATCGGAACATAAGTTGGGGGGAGATGTGGCAAGGAGGACTTCAGTTGGCGGTCATTCAGATTCTTCTCAAGATGGTTACAACATCCCCACGATTTCTTTCCCACAAGAAAATCATCGTCATATCAATGTCAATTCTGCCAAAAACCCTTCAGTACATCGCGATTCCGGCCCATGGCATTTCGCGAAGACTGTTTTGACATCCTGTCCAATCTCTGATACACTGGCCATCCTCATTGTTCTTCTCCAGGTCCCACCCGCTTTCTTGACGATTATCCAATTACTGTTCGCCACTTTGACATTCGTCCCCCCGTCCACAACTGCTACATCTGGAATAAGCTTTATCGATATGTTTGAAGGAACTACTGGTACACCGTCATTGGCAACTATTATGGTGGTCGACGTACTGTTTCTCCTAACCTGGGTATTTTTGTATGGTCCTTTGCAGGAGTTCATCTTACAATTTGCACAATCGGTGATCGCATTAACTTTGGGAGGAGGTCTCAGTGGGAAAGAAGCTGGTATGAGGAATGTAGTTCTCTGCTTTGGTTACATTGGGGTCTCGCATTATGCCTCGATCAGCAACATTAAATCTGTCGGACTTCGTACCCTACTTTCATCCCCACGAAACTTTTTAGGCTCATTCGACCTCGACGATCCTCTCGAATCGATACCAATCCCTATACCGAATTGGAAAGACCGAATACCGATTTGGATTCGAAATATTCTTGCAGTTCACATTCTTGCACAAGGAGTAGTGCGGTATATACGAGATTTATATGTTAGGAGTCAAAAACGCGATCATGCAGCATCTACCCTGGGGGATCCTGAAGCAGCGAAAGGATCAGCAGATGGAGCCAATGATTCTTCCACTACAACCCCACAAACACCAGATAACGAAGCTACAAATTCATTACATGCTAGCCATACAGCCATTACAACCAGGAAAAAGAGAAAACAAAGCGCACAAGTCCGCATACAGCAACCTTTATGGGCAGCTTTAGCAAGTACAAAAATCGTCATGGTCAAGGAGTACGAGACGTCACACGCAGCTGCGGAATCGGCGGGTACAAATGCGACAGATGCTAGTAACCTTGGAAATGCACCTTTTAGTACCGAGCCAGATCGAATTTGGATTACCAATGTTGGGTCTGATGCCGTTTTGTTTAGTACCAGTTATTTTCCCAAATTCACAATTCCCGACGAGAATCAAGATGATGCGGAGGGGTCAATCGTGAATTCGAGAATGCCCATTTTTGTTAGGGTCAATCAAGCACATTGGCAACCTACGAGGATGGAAGCTAGTATCAATCCTAGCTTGCCCGCTGGGAAAAACACGTGCTGGGATGGAGAAATATTTGGGCTTGCGCCTTCTAGCAGTTATGAGATTGAATTTTTCAATGTCGTTAACAACAAAGTCATTTTTTGCACCAGCGTCAAAACGCTTAATACACCATCAGATACTGCAGCTGCAACTTCCCTTTCACCTCTCCCTCCTCAAGTATCAGGACGACCAGGATCACCCAGTTCCACTATTCAACAATCAATTCGAGCATCCAAAACCAAACTGGAAGAAGAACGTAGCCGTCAGAAACGCGAACGCAAAGATCAACGCACAAAAATCCAGACACTTCGTAGAGAAATTGATAAGCTCTCACACATCATAGCCACATCAGGTGGCAATGATGAAAAACAGCGTCAGAAAATTCAACAAGCCACCCTTCAGATTAGACAAGCAGAAGAAGCTATTACTTCCATTCAAGCTGATATTGAAATTGCCGATCGATTACCTTCAGCATCAAAGGATTCCGAGTATATTTCAGCAAAGCAAAAGTATCGAACGCAAAAAGACCTCTACGAGAAAGCTAAATCAGACTTCATTACGAAAAAGAAGGAGAATGAAAAGCCAATCGCAGCTTTGAGTGCTGAGCTTCTCAACAAAGAACGACAATCCGAGAAATTGGAAGCCCGATCCATTAAACTTACTCATCAAGCAGATGATCTCCGTGAAGCTAACACCAAAGGGTTGAATGAAGTTCAACGTAAGGAAAAGCAACGGAGGGATAAAGATGATGAGAGAAAGATGGTTCAGGCTAATTGGGATAAGTATAACGTGGAGGCGCAAATGCAACTCCAACGATATACTGATGATCTCACCATGCTTTACCCATACATCGATCAATACACTATGGCTTTACAACAGCAGCATCAACAAGAAACGAATCAATTATACGTCAATGCCCCATGGACAACAGCCGGTGAAAGTTCAATGTCCGCATTTCCCGCATACGCTCCAATCTCGAATATGGCACCGGCTATGCCTCAAATGGGTGGCTTAATGACAATGACACAGACCACAAGGCAAAGAGGTAGAAGCTCGAGTATGTTAAGTAACGAGAGTGGATTTACCCAAGGTCCGGATTCAGATGAAGAGCATACTCCTTTTTATGGACCACATCTTCAATCGCAAACCCAACCTCACTATTCTCCATACAATACCAATCAATCACCGAGTCCATTCGCTCCCGCGTTCCGAAACACATCGACATCGATCTCTCAATTTCAACAGAATGAATCATTGAATTGGCCACCAACTCGCAAGGGTAGTGGATCAGGTGATGTAGATGCATCGGGGAGTAGAAGTGGAAGTGAGAGAGATAGTATTGGGGATCCAAAAAGTCCACTGAATGAAAAGAGTCAGTTGCCGATGCCTATTGGAGCGGGATCGGGCTTTGGAATTGGAAGTGCGGGATCCAGGGGTTTGAGAGGGGTTTGGGATAATTGATTCGATTGATGCCGGTGGAATTTTACGCTGTGTTGGTGTTGTGTTCTAGTGTTGAGGGAAGCGAAATAAGTTAAATTGGAATAAATGGCTCGGAGATGACATCGATGGGCTGGCTGACTAGTTTGATGATTATGCGGCATGGCCAGAATCTCAATTGGTGTGTGAAGTGGCGGTAGTTGGATTAACTGGCTAACTGGTCAAAACTGGTGGTGTTAGAAGCGATATTGGCATGGCAGTAAAATTGAAGCTTGCAAGTTTATTTTCTCTATATTTTGATTTGAGTTGTATGATAATTGATGATGTGTGATGTGTGATGTGTGAGTGTAATGTAATGTGTGATGCAACATACTGAGTACCTGCACGTGCAAAAAATAGCATCGGAGCTCAAATATAGTACCTAGTAGTTCTCTAAAAGGAAAGTGGGGGAGGGGTAATGGAGGGGGAAGGGTTTCTCGGATAATTCCTCGCTTGATTGCTTGCTTTTTCTTCTGGTTTGGTTTGGAAGATAAATAGAAAAAAGAAATGGAGGCAGGTAGGAGGTATGTATGTATGTATGTATGTATGTATGTGTAAGCACCCAGGTATATAGATTTTGACACTTTAATATTTCAAGGGGATGGGATTAGGGATGGGATGGGAAGAGATGGGTAGGTGGGTAGGTGAATGAGTTCTTGATTTTTTTCCTTTTCTTTTCTCCTTGAGCCTGAGGGATGTTGAAAATTTGGAATTGTATTTTTCTCTCTTCTTCTTCTTTTTCTTCTTCTTCTTCTTCTCCCTATGCTTATGCTCATGCTTATGCTCATGCATACTTATACTTATATTTTCTCTCACAAGATTGATTACAATTGTTTATGATTGATTGATTGATTGATTGATTGATTGATTGATATCTTAGTACAACCGGATTTTTCTCATGGGAGATTTAGAACAAGATAGGATGGGAGATGAGGAGATGAGGAGATAAGTAAGTAAGTGGGTGGATGGATGGATGAGTGAGAGTACATAGATGGGTGGGTATAAGTGTGGTGGCTTGGTTGGTAGATTGCTTCTAGGGGAGTAAGTTCTGGGGGGAGGGGGAGAGGTTGAATAGCATCATTATCATTATCATCATCATCATCATGTCGGATGTTATGGTATCATGGGGGCTGTGAAATGAAATGAGTTTTTGGACTCGATCGATGGCGGATAGCTGGCTAGCTATGTAGCTCTGCTTGGGAGTAGGCAGCGGGTAAATTGTATTAGGTATGGGATTTGTCGTTTTGGATTTGGTTTTGTGTGTTATGATTTGATATGATGTGATGTTTAGCTCGTGAATGAGCAGTTTATATGAATAGATAGATAGGTAGGTCTAGTTGTGATGAGAGTTTGAATGGATGGTTGATTGTTGGATCTCTGGTGGTGGGATTGTTGTTCTGAGAGGGTGTATGGTTGTCATTTGAGAGGAGATGAGTAGGAGATAGGGGTGAGATATGGGTTAGTAGATGTAGTTCCGATGTACATGCATATGATTAGATATCAGCACAAAGTGAACCTAATGTGAAAGTTTGATAGAGGATAAATGTGGTATTGAAGTATGTACGTTACTTTGAGGAACTATTTTTGTTTTTCTATTTACGTAATTTTGAATCATGCATATCTTTCCTAGAAATGTTTTTGGTTTAGAAAGCATCGAATTTATGAAGAGAAAGAGATTAGAAGAAGAATGAAATTGTTAAACTCTTAACCCTTAAACCATTAAACCATCTTAAGGAAAATAAGAAAAACAAGAAAAACGTCGAGCTTGGCGATAAGAAAAGCATGATGTTGAAGAACTGAGATTGTGTGGCTGTGTATTTATGCGAAGATGAAGACGTAGGTGTAGAATGAGGACGAGGGTGGGAATGGCGTGCGTGTGGAGAGAGAGAGATTACTTCAGAGCTAGCTCTCACTCCTTAAACCTATCTTCGAACCGTCGACGTTGTCTTTAGTCGAAGAGGAGGAGTAAGATAGCCATCTTTCACTCCAGGCCTGAAAGCACCACCGTATGAATCAGGTTCAGGGTTTTGGTAATGGAAACCGGAAGCATTAGGGTCTGTCCAAGACAAATCTCCAGAGGACTCTGCATCTTTCGTATAACCTAGTTTCTTGACCCCCCTTCTGAATTCTTGCTCCCGTATTTTTTCTTCTTGCTCCCTCCAAAATCTTATCTTCTGAGCTTCATCCGGCGCTTGAGCTTTACCCTGCTCTCTCTTTTGAGGTCTTGCCTTTGTTCTTCTCCCAGGAAGTTTCTTGCCCTGAGCTGCCAATATTTCCTGATCTTGCAAGGTTCTTTCACCGTTTTGGACCCTTTCACGCCACTCAGCAGTATCGCTCCCAGCAGTATGACGAAGACGCGAGGTAGATTCATGCAAAGCCTCGAGACCTACCTCGCCGAACTGGCCTTTCAAGGCGTCCTCTGAGAGCCAGGGGGGCCTTTCGACCCACTGAGGCTGCTTCCAATGTATTTTCTTATTATAGACATGCATTCGGATCGATTCCATGTTGAAATCATCCCTTCCCTTGTCAAAAGGCTCGAATTTATTCAAAGCATCCAAAAAGTCCCCAACTCGATCAAACAAATGTTTTTGAGTAATCATAAACTTCCCTTCCCTTATTCGGTTTTCATGACGCCATACGCCACCAGCAACCCAGATAAATAAGGCATCGGCTCGATGGGTCCAATGAAATCCGGTCATGGTAAAAATCAGGGCGATTCTGGTCTTAATGCAGTGAGGAAAGTACCGAAGTGTAAATCGTGTCGAAATCGGGCTCTAAGTATCGTATTAACAGTATCAAATGCCAGATGTTGTAGTATGTGTATGTAGAATGTGTATCCCGTGTGTACATCGAATTCAAAAACAAAAGGAAAAGAAAGCAGCACGGGAACTCAAACTTAATTGAGCACATTTGCTGGGGCATAATGAGTGTACGATACAGTCATTTGCAAGATCATATTCACGATCTTTCTGAGTATTTCGTATGAGTGTTCGTTGAGTCCTCGGTGAAATGTGGGAGTATGCACTAGAAGCCTGATAAAATCTATGAATATATCTTGGATTGGTGATGAAATATATGAGTGTGCAAAAACTTGTTGATGTGAGGTATGAGTGTCGACTAAAACACTGATAAATTGTATGAACATAACTCAAATTGCTGATGATCTGTATGACTGTCTACCAAAGTGTTGGTCAGAGCATGAGTGTCTACTGGAACACTAATACATTGTGTAAGATGTCATCAAATTGTTGATAAAATAAATGAGTATGTACAGAGTTACCAACAAAATATAAACATTCCTCCAAGGCTCATGGTATTTTTGGGAGTACATCGAATTGCCAATAAAACGTATGACAATGTATTAGTCTCTTCAGAATCCTCCTGGTAAGAAGATTCTTTCGAAAGGATTGACGTAGGTTCACCACCATTTCTCACATAAAACTCGTGAGGGGTCTATACCAGGAAGATTCCGAATATAAGAAACCATGGAATCAGTCATAGTGGGCGGTCCACATATATAAATTATCGTTCGTGATTTTTCCTCCATTGTTCCTAAAATAAGGTCAATGTCGTTGTTAGATATTCTTTGATGATGGGTTTCCATATTTGAATTTGGGGTTGTCTTCGAAAGCTTGATAGTGTCTTGTGAGGAGCCGGTGGCAAAAAGCTGAAGATCCCATTGCTCCCTCTTCTTGAAGATTTCCTGCAAACGATCGAGAAACAATATCGCTTCTTCTGTCTCTCCTCCTCTTCGATCACCTTCTGCTGGAATGGAAGCCGGTACCTTGGTACTGTAGAGGAATTTAACCTCAAGATTTTCGCATCTCTTTTCCTCCGCATTTCTTTTAGTTTCATCATCTACTTCTTTACCTTCTACCTTCTTCCCTTCTCCTCTTTTTTTGTTCTCTCCCAATTCAGCATGAATATAAGAAATCATACTCATCAAAGGATTGATACCCATTCCACCTGCTATAAACACCACCCTGTTTCCATTATCTACCCGCTCCTTCCAATGCCCTTTGCTTCCCTCCTCATGCCAAAAAGAAGGAGGCCAGGTAAATGATCCTCCAATTCTAACCGCCACTTCCTTTCCAAGAATTTCTGATGACGGCTGAAATAACCAAGCTACCTGTTCACTTATCTTCCCCCCAGAATTTAATTTCAAGATGGGCTTTTGAATTGCTAATTCAATACCTGTTCCTTTCTCCTCTTTCAAGTCATCAATTGAAGGGGAAGATTGATAAGGAGGAATATTCACAATACTAAAACCTCCAGGTCTCTGTATTCCCGGGAGAAAGAGATCGATCCATTGTCCGGGTTTCCAGTTGAGATGTTTGGGAGAGGAATCAGATGCGGGATGAAGAGGCGAAAGATAAAAGAGACGAGTGGTGGAGTTTATACTTGTCACTTGTGTGAGGATGAAGTTATGAAGGGACTAGAGAGATGATTAATCAACATTCGAAACTTTTCTTTCTGTTTGAGGAGGAGGGGAATGATATTCAAATGAGAGGAGGTTGAAGAGAAGAAAGATATTTTGGAATATATGGAAATGTTATATACTTACTTCATCCCTTGGTTCTGTCGCCGTCCGTTCTATGTGGCTTAGATATTGCTTTATGTCTTTTCCATCTTTTCCTCCTCCATCTGTTGCCATTCGCTCTCTTCCCATCTCTTTTCGATTGATGTTCACCCTCCTATTTTTGTTCTTCTTCAATTGAGAACCAAGATTGCCCTCTCCCAGACTCGTGACCCTAGACCCCGAAGAGACACTCCGAAGGAAATCCAATCCAATGTTCAATGGCGGCTGTACTCTGGATTCTGATAACCTTATCGATATTCCTCGTGGGTGCCGGAATAGATAATTACGAACAATTGGATTCATTTATTCGGAAATATCAGTAGGAGCTCGGAAGAAATCAAGAATTCACAGTGAAACCGAAGTGTCGCAGTATGGAAGCACGATGAGATGAAGTCGACGTGAGGTACATAGCTTAGTAAGCACACCAGATCCTGGAGTCATAGATACAATTGTGGTAATATGATTTCAATATGTAGAATTTGTTTTCCTTTTTGCTATAGACAACTATATGTGCTTTACTTGTCCAGAGATATCTCGATCAACGAGTACCAAAAAGATATGATTTATAACGATGTCAATATCAAGCAGTTGTTCGAGAATTGTGGCTGAATTATGGCTTGACTTTGTTGTGGCTAATCATTACCGCGAAGACCATCAACCTCAACCTCAACCTCTCTACCTCCTTCTCTTTCTGATCAACTCTAAAACACATGAAATTATTTGCAAATAATCTCATTAATAGCAACCACTTAGCATTCCGAACGACAAAAGCAGAAGTCAAATACGGTTGCCTCAACAGGTTACGTATACGTTGGTTGCGGATTGTATAGTTTTTACACATTGGGGCTCAGATACAAGGTTATTCTATATCATTCTCCTGATGAGTCTGATACCGGTATTAAGTTGAGAGTCTCGAACAGGAAGAAAGAAGAGGAAGCTAGAATCGGGAGCTGGGGACGCTTGGGACGGTTTGTTTATGTAATTCCAGTATTAGAGGAGGAATTGAGAATTTGGGTTCGGCAAATGGGGGGATAGTAGTCGATATGGAGGTTCGGTATTGGGAAATGTCTAGATGAAGAGGAGTAGAGAGTTCAATATGGTCAAGATCGCAAGGTGAATTAGGGAGACGAAGCTTCCGATGAGGTGAGATCATACTTAGAAGGATCTTTTTCCTGAATCAGAGTGATGAACTTTATAGAGTGATGTGCTGATACAATGCAAATCGGGACTTATATTTCTTCTAGTTTCCCGCTTGATCTTCAAATGTTGCACCTCCATCAAATGAGAATACAATAAATAAGATTAAAAATGTCTGTGCTCTCACACCCCTTTTGAAAAAAAGTATAAGGCGTACGTATCATACTCCCCTGATAGTGAAACAACGTTCGTGCATCTCTTAATCTGATCTAATGATCGTTTTTCGATGAATCTGGTCCCGCTTTTTATTGCATGCCAGCTAGTACTTATCAATTGAATCATAGGATTTGACATTAGCCTTTGTTTTCTTCTAGAAGCAAGTGTTAATCCAAAAATACATTCTCAATATTCTGAAAAAGAAATAGCACTTTCAAGGCCAGAAGCTGAGAAATGGTATATCAGACAACATTCAAAATGATTCGTAATAAGAGTTATCTTCCCAATGGTCCATCAATATCAAGAAGTAGTGAATTACTGTCAAATTTCAATACGTTTGTTTGTTCATAACATTACAACACATTCATAACCCCGACCCAACGTTAGAACACTTATAGACAACCACAGTGCCAGAAATATCTCCCAGACCATCGGTGTTAGAACCAACTTCCCCATCAAAACAAAAATACAAAACAGCACCAGAGACTACAAAATGACATACGCCACCAAAGTCTTAGCAATCCCCGAACTCCTCGAACAGATCTTCTCCCACCTTCCTCTCCCAGATCTCATGATCCGTATCCAGAGCGTGAACAAGCATTTCTACACCTTGATAACCACCTCTCCTCTCCTCCAACACAAGCTGTTTTTCTCCTCAACCAGAAATCCATTTCTATCCAATCGTTCCAATACCATCATCCCCAATCCTCTCTTATACCCTTCGTTCCACGCCTACATCTCTTCTTCTCGCAAAGTATGGGCCACGTCTCCGGAGCTCCGGCCATTGGAGCTCGTTGAATTAGGAGTTGGAAGAAGGGATATGGTACGAAGGGGATTTAGGTGGGCAGATGCGAGCTGGAAAAATATGTTAGTGTGTTTACCACCGGTCAAGGAATTAACGATCCATTCAATGTTTGGGCCATGGGTCATAAAAAGCGAGACTGGAGTTCGAATGGGGATGTTGGATTCGAAATTACTGAGGGATGTGTGGGGGAGTCTGGATGTGCAAGGAGAGAAGGGTATTTTGAGATGTGGAGATGCGGAGAGGTAAAGATAGGGGCTTTTGAGGGCTTCCAGGGGGATTGCGCACTGTCCTTGGAAGGTTCGTTTAATATTCACGCGTTTGGGAATGTTACCTGCTCATACAAGGGGAACCAGCAAGTATTGTTAAGGGAGCGATGTGAAAGAGCAAGTCTTCAGCGAGAGAAATAAGTTTCTGGACGTATTGAGAGAATGTAGTATGATGCCTTGGAATAGAAAATTCGAGAAGTTGTACTTGCACTCGACATACGATCATTGTATACATAGTATTGCCTGCTGGCAGGTAACAGCTGACAGCTGACATCAAGCGACGGGTATCAAAGGAACGGCGATGTCATTCCAGATTCCGAGAAAGGCTAATAGTTTATGTAAGATGGTGTGAGGTTGATAATCTATATTTTTCGTGGACAATTTACTAAGATTGGCAACACCAATAACATACACTGTCCAATGATATGACGTTGTGAGACCTTGTTTCTCGTAGTATCAGGTGATAGCTCGCATGATATTTTCTTTTGTGAACACCACCTCGGCGCCACCCGTTGGTGAAAAACCTCAACTTGAGTAACACCACATCGGGCATACCGATGTTGATTCGTTTTTAGAGAATAAAAAACAATGATTGCTCAAAAAATGAAGCTCAAAAGATAATACCGAGGTCGAAAAATAAACCGAGAATTATGTTTCAGTCCGGATGTTCCACTGCTACGTTACCATTCTATTATTAAATTCTCGATCTGCATTAAGTAGGTATCTACCTACTCTATTCTCAGAGAGAGTGTGTGCGGTTTCCCCACAGATTCACACAAAGTACAGAGTCGTTGTGGTTTCCGTCGGAGAGCTTGGATCATTGGTTACACAGAGCTCGTATTTTGGGGTTCGTATTTGAAGAAAGGGCGATAGCTTGGCGCTGCATATGTAATCGAATACGATGGATCGTGCTTGCTGTACTGTAACATCATAACGACCTCGGAGGTTCTTTCTTTTTCTTGCCTTGAGTGTGGTTTTCAAGTATTTAATTCAAGGTCGTCCGCTTGATGAAAGCCTTTCAATCATCATTGTTTTATCAACTTATCATCATCCACTTCATATCAAAATCTCATCGATTCTCAAACAACATGCACTTCTCAAAACTTTTTGTCTTCTCCGCTGGAGCCATTACTGCAGGTCTAGCGGATCAGTTCATGGTTCCTACTCCATGGTATGTCCAAAAAATCAGCATTGGAAACATTAGACACGGTACAGGCGGCTTGTAAGTTCTTTTCTCAAGGACCTCCACTCTCAGAGATGCTAACAGGGGAAAATAGTTGGTCATTCAACTTGATTGACACACCCACTCCCGCTCCTCAAGGTCTCAATGTAACGTGTAGTTATTCAAGTCCAACTACTTATATATTCGCACTCGATGGTGCTCCGGTCGATGCACCCTGCAGTGGTAATCCCAATGTGACTTTCAGTCTATATCCTGATGGCGATCATTTTACATTCAATATCACACATTTGTATGGAAATTGCGGAACGTAAGTTTTGGCCTGTTCTTTGAACCGCTGAAGCCGTAGACTAACAATTTTTGCAGTGAGGATAGCCCAACTCCAGTGAGCAAACTCATTTTCCCCCGCATAATGGTTGGGAAAATATCACTGACTTTTGACTTTTTAGTGCAACGACAGTGGAACTTGGCAATTCAGCAAGGATGATGTGAGAGGACAGGAGTCTGATGTTCAGAATAACTTTGGACAGTCTGGAAGTTTCACCAGAGACTCCATTTCCATGTATCCAATTCGAGCGATACCCAGCGAGAAATGCGAGTTCTGTTGATATTGTTTAGGACGGGGGTTACCAAGGGCGATGAAATGGCTAAAGTGCCAATGAAACGAGTAAAAATAGAAGGGTTGCATCGGGTTTAAAAATGGAGTATCTTAGCGTTGGCGAAACAAAATTAGGAATGAATAGAACTTATAATCAACAACCTAGCTGCTCCCATCCATTTGAGTGCCTTGAGATATCAGTAGCTAGAACACCTCGTTCATAAGCTTTACCCTACTAGTGATGAAGGACTGAATTGAATAGATCCCAGAGCTCTATGCAACGGTAGTGTATTGGCGTCAGCTTGTAGTGATAGCGTATAACAACGCACTGTGTTAAAGGATGGCTTCGTCATAAATATTATACCTAGCCACCACCAAACCAAACAAAAGCTTCTTGAAAAGCCCCAACCCAACTTACATTGTGAAATAATGGTAAGGTGGCGTTCTCATAACCAAAATTGATCAAATTCTACCACACATCATTGAATTGATCATGATACCCATTCGAAACTCCACCACAACCATCACAAGGGATAGATATTCCGTATGAACACTTCCCGCAATCCTTGCAATGCCAGTCTCTCCAGTCGTTACATTCATCACAAACGGAACAATGGACAGTACTGGTAAATTCCTCCCATCCACCAGAGCAGAAAGAGAAATAATACCCACCATCCTCAACAAATGCCTTTCTGAACAACTTCATTCGAATAGGTTTCCTCTCTGCTTCAGTCTTTGCCTCGAGCCACTCTTCACCAAGCTGTTGTATTTCAGGATCAGAACCATCGTAGAATACTGATCCTTGAGGCGCATCGTAATATTTCTTTTCATCGACTCCCATAATGTTACTTCTCAGTTCCTCTTGTGTAAATGCGGAATCGAGATCCAGATCAGGGCCTTGTGCTTTCATCCAACTCGCAAAACAATTTGTAGCGCGAAGTCTCGATTCTCCGAAGAAGAGGGCAAATTTGTTCAGGTAATTGGCACACGAGGCACATTTGCAGTTTGGACCACAACTAAAAGCATTCTTGGAGCATTCGCATCTACCATTTGTGCAACCAGTCTTACATGAACAGGAGAATGTTTCGGAGATACCGCGTT